GTTGTCCAAACCACTTGTCGCTCTTATTGGATTTTGCACACAATGTTTCTGACAGTTTTGGTTCTATGTTCACTCTGCAGGGCCACCCTGGACAAGCTGGGCCCAGGGGGAAGCCAGGTGCAGATGGCTGTAACGGAACCAAGGGAGAACCTGGTTTCCCAGGTCAACCTGGTTTTCATGGCCCTTCAGGTTTTCCTGTAAGTGGTGCTGCACACCTCCATAAACATTGATTTTTGATAATATACAATCTTTGACCTTTTCATCTTTTTTGTCTGTATGTTTTTTGTTGGTTTTTTTCCCACATTTTAGGGACAAATAGGCAGGAAAGGTGATAAGGGGGACTCATTGGAGCTGAGTGTGTACATGGAACGTTTCAGGGTAAGAAACATAAGAGAGACAACAACTATTGGTTGAACATTAATGAACACCTGCTCTGTAAACCTCAGATACTGCAGATTACTACATTCAATTTATATATCTCTCCATTATTTCACAAATCTTTGATTATCTCTTTACAGGGAGATTCAGGCACTCCAGGAAGTCATGGGATATATGTGAGACATAATATAATATAATATAATATAATATAATATAATATAATATAATATAACTTTTTCAGGGACCTCCAGGAAATCCAGGCTGGCCTGGTAACAGAGGAACTATGGGACCAAAAGTAATGTTTATGGCTGTGTTTTTATTTTTCACACACTGTAACTATGTGTAAAACTATGTGTAAAATACTGATGCAATCTCTTATTTTGTCCACTAAAAGGGTCCTCCAGGGCCTCCAGGTCCACCTGGACCAAAGGTAATTAAACATAACCTACTTTTCTTTATAGAAAGTGATCTCTTTTTTTTAACTGACATGGTTTTTTTTTGTTTTTTTTTGTTAAACAGGGCACCAATGCCAAAGTGATTAAAGGAAACAAAGGAGAACAAGTGAGTTTTACAGAAGATCACTGGTTGATCTTAAGCATATAAGTTTGTTGTTACTGGTGAGCGTCATTGAGTAAAATGACGCATAATCAGTCTAAACTGCTTCATTTTCTGTTACCACTGTACCTACCAAAATTAGTAGTTAATTATTAATCAACAATAAAATGTGTTTTACAGCCAGATTTGTTGTTTATGTCCTGTAAATATCTTTTTAGTCATATGAGTTCTTTAGTTTGAGACACAAACATCAGCACTAGTGATTCCTAACCACTGAGTGCAGTGCAAAGGTATTGAATTGAACTGGTTGGAAACTTATTAATTAACTGGAAATGATCATGAACATTTAAATACTATTCCACTAGATGGCAGCAGATAGCTAAACAATTAATAAAGAACCTTAGAGCTGGTGCAAATACACTGTCTTTCTGCAAGTCCTGGGAGTATATCATCGTTGTATTTAATAAAACTAGATGATCATTATATGTCATTACGTATGCTTCTTCCGACCTTTATGTTTGCTGGTGCATTGTGGGGTTTTTCTAATGTTAAATATGGTCGTGGCTCAAAAAGTTAATCTACACAATATTTTTTTGGGTAGAATCTTGCTGAAAATTCAGTTCAGGAAATTCATGCACAAACCTTCAATTGTTTTAACAGCATCTGCAGCAGCATTAATATACTGTGTATGGTAAACAGTCTTTTGGATAACAGTAATAACATATACTGTACAGGTGTTTGAAAGTCTTTTACTAGAACAGATATATGTTTATTAAACCCCTTAGCAGTTTTTAGCTTCTTTTTTTCACAGTGCAAGATGTCAAATCCCTAATTCACTTATCATGGTTTTACATCGTCCTAAAATCTTTTATGTCACGTGTCTTTATTTTGTGTTTTTTATGTTGTTATTCATGGTTTAATTAGTTATCACTGCATTAGTAAGAAAAAATATTGAAACTAATGTTTAATTTTTTTCTCCTGCACTTCCTATCAAATCCACAAGGGGGACACCGGACCACCTGGCCTGCCAGGAAACTCTACTCATCCTCATACTCTGCCCCCCCAAGTATGGCACATTAATATGACTCATCTCAATTCTATGACTCTAAAATACTCAAACAGAAAATGCTCTTGTTCTAGGGACCTACTGGAGAGAAAGGCCAGAAAGGAGACAGAGGAGACCACGTAGGTCACAGATCATGGTCTTAAGGTAAGGGCTTGGGTGTAATGTACATACACCACTGACTGGCTCTCACTGCCTCATTTCAGGCAGAAAACGTTGGAGAAATTGGTGTGATGGGACCCCCCGGACCACGGGTTAGACCACGTACATCTCACCTTGAATGTGAACTTTATCTGTTTAATCAAACAGGTCATTTTAGTAATGATGTCCAATACTGTTGTAGGGCACATTTGGTTTAGATGGACCTCCTGGACCAAGGGTATGTAATTATTTTTATTGTAATTATTTTTAGTGCTTTACCAGGAAGAAACATTTTTTAGTGCTGTGACAGACAAACTTACAAACAAACTGTCAGATTTGATACATTAAGTGTTTATTTCGTGATATGTATATAATACAGAAGAGTAACTCAGCACAGGTAGTTCGTACAGTAACTTTTGTGTCCAGTGCAGAATGTGGCCTCAACTTTCACATTATTATTACTAAATTATACATTTGACTTCATAGTATTGTCGTGGGAGTTGGAACCTTTTTCTGGGAAAAAAATGTTTGTAGTATATTTTCAGACTAATATTGTCTGTTATCTAACAATGACAAGTCTTGTTTCAGGGGGATCCTGGTGAAGATGGGTTAATTGGCAGAGTGGGGCCAAAGGTGAGAATTAGTCTGATATCATTTTTTTAAAGATAAAGAAATAAATAAGATTAACATTATTTAATTAATAAAACAAAATTACATTTTATTTTATATCCAGGTTTTTGTAATTTAAGTGAATCTATAGGAGTAAATGTATGGATTAAAAATGTCTGACAGTAGGTTTGTGTTTCAGGGAGCCATCGGGGAGCCAGGATTACTGATTTCATCTGGTTGGCCTTTTGGTCAGTCAGGTAAATTAGTTATTAACATGTGAAAATAAAGTCAGCGGCATCTCACAGCTTTAGGTTATTTCCCACAGTGCACCTCTTTATTTACACATTTATTACTCTATCAGTACAGTACACAGCACTGATATGGAGACACAATGATGTGTTCTCATACATATACTGTAATTGTGACATACCAGTGCAGTTCAGGCAAATACATGATCATTGATTCAGTGAGTAAAGTTTTAGGCTTATGCTCAGAGGGTTGCTGGTTTGAATCCCAGCCGTGGAAGGACTGTGGTGCATAACTGAACTTCAAAATGTAAATAGTTAAGATATACTTTAGGATGAATAAAATTGAATTCAGGAAAATATAAGGGATTATATTCTTGCATTGATGTCAGAAGATAACACATGTAAAAATGGTTCCAATGGTCACTTACCTTAAATTGTCTGATAAAATCTCTTTCAATTGACAACTTTCTTTGTCTGACCTGATTAGGGGGACAATCTGGTCCACCTGGCGAACCAGGTCCAGATGGAGATAGAGGCCCAATAGGAGATCAAGGCCCCCCTGGAAGCCCAGGACGTCCTGCCTCTGCTTCACAAGTACAAGGTCTGAAAACTGGTCCGCAAGCTATAAAAAATGTTTTAATATTTTCCAACCGGAATTATTGTAATGTTTGAGGTGTGATGAAGAAAAAATGAAGAAGAATCATTCAGGCTAGATTAGGGCAGAAAGGTTCCTGTAAGCAAGGCAACCTGTGTCTCTGTTAAAAATAAAAGATCACCACAGATTAATTTTGCCCAAGAGATGATACACTGATTTTTATGAATCTAGAGAAAGTAACAAAGTGGTAATATATGAGTTAGTCCATGGTGGCATAAAAGTATATGAGGATGGTGCAGGACATGTTTAGGTTTGCACATGAAGAATCAAACTGGTTCCAAGCACTGATTTTTATCACGAGATTAAGAATTTAATGTTTTTATTTTTATGTTTTCTTCTTTCTTCTGTCTTTCAGTGTTTGAATTATTTGGACCCTTTGGTTTTCCGGGTGAGAAAGGAGACAAAGGCCTTCAGGGTGAACCAGGAATTCCCGCTGTCACTGCAGGACCTCCTGGAGCCAATGGACGGCCAGGGGCCAGAGGACCTCCAGGACCTGAAGGAACATGTGTGTTGCATTAAGATGATGGGGAAATTTTATTTGACCAAGTGGTTTAGGTTCTATTTGATCTCTGCGGATCATTAAATGAGTCTCTCCTTATCCTTAGGGCTTGAGTTTTTCAAGGGAGCTCCAGGTGTAAGAGGAAGACCCGGCAACGCTGGCTTTAAAGGACCAAAAGGTGACATGTTGGATATAATGAAATGGTTATTGGTGGCATGATTTGTTTCATGTGTGTAGGGCTTTTTTAGTCTGGAAGACAAAAACTAGTGAAGTAAGAGAAAAAGAATCCTCAGTGAAGACAGATCTTCAACCTTCATAGCTGACTTTTTGGGTTTTTATACTTTGTCTCTGCAAAGAAAAAATGCTGACCTATGCACAATGTTGTGTCCATGTAGGTGAACATGGGGAGTGTGAGTGCAGTATTGTCCACTCTCCGTCGGGACCACCTGGTCCTGTTGGTGAGCGTGGGGATGCTGGAATGTCTGGAGAATTTGGGCAGGAGGGTGATGTAGGAGACCCTGGTGTCCCCGGCGATGAAGGGTTCCCTGTAAGACAGTCCAAGAGAAAGCACTATCACCTGCATATTTCTATTAACTTTAATTCTTCGACATTACAGCTTTGTGTGCTTTATTATAGGGCTCTCCTGGAATTAGTGGGTTACCTGGTCCTAAAGGCCAGAAAGGATACTCAAGTGTGGCCAATCAGAAAGGTGCACCATCCCATTCATGTTACTGCGTCACACCAGCAGACCATAATGAACTCTGTAATGTGTACGTTTATGTGTATGTCTGCTGATGCTTGATCTAAACAGGATATCCTGGAGATCAAGGACAACCTGGATTGGATGGTCAGCCAGGTTCCCAGGGTGCTCCAGGCCTCAATGGGGTTCCTGGTCTCCCTGGTAGCAGAGGTCTTCCGGTGAGTTCATCACAATCATCTTTTGTGATATTTTTTATTCACTACCTATGGCTAAAAAAATAGATGAGGCCAGTGATCTAAAAATGACTGTGATGGTTCATGTCCACAGGGAGAAGGTCTCTGGGGACAACGTGGAGAAAAAGGTTTTCCTGGTCTTCCTGGCCGCCCTGGTGTACCCGGGGTCACAGGAGACCCTGGCTTGGTACTGGGGGCTCTAAAAGGCCAGCGTGGTCTACCTGGTGATGATGGTCTTGCAGGCTTTCCTGGAGTTCCTGGAACACCTGGCAGTCCAGGTAAGAGGCAGCCAACCAATGCCTACTTTCCATTTTCCTACTTTCATAATTTTTTTAAAAACTATTTCTTCTTCAAGGCTTTGTTGTTTTTACAGGAGTTCATTTGAGTTTATGACTCAGTGAAAACAAATAATACTCTACAGTACAAAGCAATAATACAGCAGTGAAGCCATAACGTGGAAGCATGATGATACGATGCTGTATTATTTACTTTTCTTTCTTTACCTGCTGTGTTTCCTTGATGCAGAAGCTGCATCCCTCAAACCAGCCGCAGCTGAGCTTGTTTGAAATAATGCTTGTGCTTTTGAATAACTCTGTTTCCGAATGCCTCTCTTCCATACTCTCTCATTTGCAACTGAAAGGGGACTGTAGACCGACTGCAGATGGAGGACAGGTGGATGTAACAGGTAGCTGGTATCATAACCTTTTCACCTTATTGCTCTCAATGTAACAACTCTTGTATAACAGCTTTGCTTTGGATTTTTGACTTTTGTGCATGAAAATATGATGGGATTTTAGTGTTTTGAGTGTGAGGTCATGAGCTAATGTAATGATGATGAAAAAAAAAAAACACTCCACGCTGGGCAGTGTTAAAAAAAATCACCCCAATAGTCCAAGTTTATCCGTTAACATCTCCTTTTACAGCCCTGATCATGTCATTAAGACCATATATGGGATTGCATTTTCAGGTCCTTGCAGTGCAGATCCAGGACCTCCTGGACCACCTGGACTTCCAGGACCAGAAGGACTACCAGGTTTCCCAGGTAACTCGTCATTGGATATGTGTTTTGACATTGTCGCACATTATTTGATGCTAATTTTTGTTATTTCTTGAAAATCAGGACTGAATGGTCAAAGAGGACCACAAGGTTCATTAGGAATATCTGGAGAAAAAGGAGAAGTTGGAGAGCATGGAATAGGTGGCCAGACTGGACCCCCAGGTAAAAAAGCCTAAAAAAATAAACAACCCATAGATGTGAAGAGGTATAAAAAATGAACTTTCATCTTTCACTTTTATCAGTAACTGCCTTTTCCCATCGTTACCATTATTTTAGGTTTTCCTGGTCCTCGTGGAGACCTGGGAGTTCCTGGAAGCAAAGGCTCCGTTGGAAACCCTGGTTTGCCTGGTGTTAATGGACGGCACGGGTCACAAGGCGAGAAGGGGTTTCACGGGGACATCTTAGGAGCATCACCCGGACCCCCTGGTGACCCTGGTCTCCCTGGGTTTCAGGGTAATAAAGGAGAACAGGGTGATCAAGGAAAGCAAGGTTATCCAGGTTAGTCAGATTTTTTATTTGAATTGAATTTACATTTTGACCAAATCCTGAAAACATGGTAACATAACACAATGCAAAGATAATGGTCTATTTATATAATTCTACGGAAAAATGTAAAATAAATGTGCATTTAATTAGATAGCAGTGTTTTACATCACAAAATACTTACTCCAGAAGGATATTTCAAGCAAAGAGGAAACAAATATTTCCTTAAACAGACACAAAATAAGTGCATATAAAATAGGGAAATGGCACAGCCAACTAAATAGTAAAGGAGAAGAGCTTTTATGCCAATACACACAGTATTTCAAATGAAATATGTAAATAACTAAACTCTCTCTTGCTTTCCACTGAACTTTGTCTTTTATGCAGTTCAATTTTACATTTGCTTATTTTTCTATCTAAATCAAGCTAATCATACTATTTCACTCTGATGTCAGTCTTTATTTTTTTTGGTGTAGGAAAACAATGGAGAATTCTGCTCTAGGGATATAATGATGTTTTGCACTGATTTATGTAGGAATGGGCGGCATGCCTGGTATGATTGGCTATAAAGGAGAACGTGGACCTGAAGGCCTGGAGGGAGAGGAAGGGAGGCCGGGGGCAGCTGGCCAATATGGCTACCCTGGTAATCCTGGGCAGGCAGGTCCACCTGGACCTCATGGTGCTTTCGGAGGGCCAGGTAAGTCAAACACGTGAAAAATCACTCCACCCAACCAAGTTGTTCTTGGTCGTGTATGATGTCCATGGCACATTGTCCTGCTCACCAGGATTCCCTGGAGAAAGGGGCACTGTGGGAGACCCAGGTCCTCCAGGTCCAATTGGTTTAAAAGGAAATCCTGGAGATTATGGTAGTGATGGTGTGATTGGAGAGTATGGTACCAGAGGTAACCCGGGACTACCAGGTGTAAATGGACAGCCAGGCCTTCCTGGAATGAAAGGTTTGTTCTGTAAATGATGCCATAAATTAAATTCAATGAAATTTTAGAATTGTTTTGGTCAGATTTATTAATCAAAGTCTCTGATAGTCTCTCTCTCACCCTCACTAACTTCTTCTCACTCTCACCCTCTTTGTTCAGGATACAAGGGCTCTGCTGGAATGTCAGGTTTTGAGGGGAAAAGAGGGAACCAAGGAGTGAAGGGCTTTGGTGGGCTCAAAGGAGAAGATGGTGTACCAGGCCAACTGGGCCCCAAAGGAATATCAGGTCACCAAGGAGAGAAAGGTGAGGCTAGTCGATGGCAGGTACCTTTAAATCAAATTCCACATAAACTTAACTTATATTACATTTGTATCATCCAGGTGAAAGGGGTCTGACTGGACCACCTGGGGAAAAACCAAAAATCCCTTTGCAGCTTGTGTTTGAAATGAAGGGTCCGAAGGGGAACCGTGGGAGCAAAGGAAGCAAAGGATTTGTTGGACCGAGAGGTTTGGATCTGCAGTCTGATACTTTCCTCTGAACTTGTCAGTCATCACAGGCCTAAGCTGTTCCAATATTTATTATTTTTTTAAAGGTGAGAAAGGTTTTCCTGGTGTGCCGGGCAGTGAGGGGTATCACGGTTTGCCTGGAGACCCCAGTCATGTCAAAGGAATCCATGGAGATCCAGGTGCACAGGGGCTCCCAGGGATAAAGGGAATGCCAGGACCTACAGGGAATCGTGGAATTTCTGGTTTTCAAGGAATGAAAGGCAACAAGGTAAAAACAACTGCAAAAGCTATGAAGGTCTGTGGGTAGTTGTCCTGATCAGGAACATGATGGACATTTCCACAAAAATTAGCTACAACAAAAACCAGGAAGAAAACAGTAACCGTAGTGAAAATAGTGACAGTGGACACTGTTTTCTATATTGTTCTGTTTCTGAATTACTTGTAAAATATTTTAAACATTCGTGTATTAATGCCATAGGTAACCTTGTTGCAATGTCAATATCTATGTTTAAATTGACCATTTATAACTTTGCAGGGAATTAAAGGAGGTCCTGGAGCGTATGGTGCATCGGGAGAGACAGGAAAACAGGGTTTGAAAGGTAAAAGCTCCCATTTATCAGTGTTTCAAAGGTCATTTTAAAACCAGTGTGCTGACAAATGTTGCCGTGTTGTTACAGGTGACAAAGGTCCTCAGATAGACCTACTAGGAGCTACGGGACTGAGGGGGGAGGATGGTTTTCAAGGAGTGCAGGGTGAATATTACAGCAGATATTGTTTAATCTTTAAACCAGATTACAGTGAAATACTTGTTAATGTAAAATACTTAATATATTACATACAGGCCACAGAGGATTAAAAGGATATCCGGGGGAGACGGGAGCCGTGGGTTTTGATGGCATTGAAGGACTGAAGGGAGAATCAGGTGATCCTGGAATACAAGGACCCCCAGGTTAGAGTCTCGGTTCACTCCACTCTTGAATAATCACTAATTTAATTTTACTTCATTCGATTATTCTAGCAGAATCACATTTTAACCAGGCTTAATTATTCTCTGAAGGCTCGGTTGGGCAGAGGGGAACTTTTGGTAACCGAGGTCAACAGGGCCTTCATGGATTTTCTGGAAAAGATGGAACTCGAGGCTTAGATGGGCTTCCAGGAAACAAAGGTGAGAGAATCACAAACAAGCGTGGACACTAGGATTAGGCCGACAGTGACAGATGACGGCAGATACCAAGTGATGACGATTACCACAGAACAGCTACATTTCTCTGTTTAGTTCAGTGGACAAAACTTTACACAATTTAAAGGCAGTGGCCTGTGTCCAGCTGGTATGGGGTCAGTACTAGTAGTACTAGTACTTTTCATGTAAAATGTAAAAATCAATAAAATACTGGAGCCAAAGAACTAGTGCTTATTCTGAACCCCTGGAACCTTTGGCCTTACTTAGATGCTTTTTTACTTTTGCATATTTTGCATATTTGGGGTTTGGCGCTGAACGCCATTTTTTCAGTGCTGCAAGAGACATTCAGGACATTTCACCAACTCTTCATTGTACGTGTGCAGGTTTCCCTGGCTTGAAGGGTCTTTATGGTCTACATGGATTAAAAGGACAAAAGGGTGTCCAAGGAACGCCAGGTATTTAACCACACTAACAAAACACAAAAGAACTCTTCAACACGTTTTGTTCACTAAATATGGTGATAATGTTGCACTTGAAATCCATAATTTAATTAAAACCTAAAAATCAATTTCCATGAGTTTCTGACTCGATGGAAACACGATTCTCATAAACAACGTCATATGGCATTTTCCTGTTATATTTTTAGTCTTTGGGGCACTGGTGGCTTAGTGGTTAAGGAAGCGGACTTGGAGAATGGCACCATCCCCACACACTGCTCCCTGGGTGCTTAAAGCCCACTGTTCACTTTGGTGATGGGTTAAATGCAGAGGTCACATTTTGTTGTGTGCAGTGGTGTGTTGTGTCACAAGAGCACAAGAGCAAGACTCCATGTGTGTTTTTCCTGGTTTCAGCCAGAAAATGTTTCAATAAAATGTGCCGTCAGTACAAGAACAAGACTCCATGTGTGTTTTTCCTGGTTCTATCAGGTCTGGATATCGTTGGACCAGCTGGAGAATCAGGAGCCACAGGAGAAAAAGGAGAGAGCGGTGACCCCAACAGTGAACCAGGTTTTCCAGGAACAGCTGGTTTGAAAGGGTTCCAAGGCCCTCTAGGTGAGCTGGCAATTCTGGAGATCCAAAATTGGGCTAAAAAACCTCCTCGGATCAAAGCATATAGTAAAAAACAGAAACACATTCTGAGCTTTGTCTAACAAAAATCGTGTTGCATTTAGGTGATCAAGGTCATCCTGGACTGCCAGGGATTCGTGGTTCAGTAGGACCAGATGGAAGCCCATACAGACTGGGATCAAGTGGAGACCCTGGCTTTACAGGACCTAGAGGATTACAAGGTAAGAAAAAAAAGAGAATCCTCGTGACACAGGTTACTACAGTACTGTGGTGAAAATCAACACACAGCCAACTGTTTCATGTCAACGGACACATTTGATGTACTATTGGCCTATTCAATATTTGTTCACTTCAATCTGGACAGTTTACTGAAATACATTGAACCAAAAGAGAAATACTGGGTTGTTGTAAATTATTTTTTTTCTCCCAGGATTCCCTGGACCAAAAGGATTTCCTGGTGTTGATGCTCCACCTGGAGAAAAGGGTATAATCGGGTTGAACGGATTTCCAGGAGGTCCCGGTAGGAAAGGATTCAAAGGAGATCAAGGTCCATATGGATACAGGGGGTCTAATGGTGTGTCTGGGAAAAAAGGTAGGAATCATGGATTTACTGAATTAAGCATTAGCCTTAAAACGTATCTTTGCATTTATTACTACAGAAGCTGTACTTGACATTGTAAAAGAGTCTAGAAAATAATTAAGTGATCATTAACTATGTGTCATTTTGCAAATACTGTTGTCTTATAGGCATAAAAGGAGATCAAGGAGTGATGGGAATCCCTGGTATGAATGGTTTCAAGGGAGAAAGAGGCTCAGTTGGGTCGAAAGGAGAGTCTGGACCACCAGGTTAATTAATACACCAACGTTTGTTTAATGAACATTGCCCCACATTTGTCAACTGTCTCAGTCAAGAACACACAAACTTTATCTTGGTCTCAACAAAGTTTATCTCTGCTGCAGGTGTTCGTGGAATCCCAGGCAACCAAGGTCCTCCTGCAATCCCTGTCACACTTCCAGGGGAGAGAGGCAATCCAGGTCAACAGGGTATCCGAGGGCCAGGTGGAGTCATAGGAGAACCTGGGGTACAGGGTCCTCCTGGTGATCCTGGTATGTCCTTCATGCAGAAGTTTTTTTTGTTTGTTTGTTTGTTTTTATCAAACAGGTGTGAAATAAATGTCATGCTCACAAACATCAAATTGAACTGTTGATGTGCAGGTTTCATTGGACCTTCTGGGTACAAGGGGATGCCAGGGATTAGTGGCACACCAGGAACGCCTGGATTCCGTGGACACAATGGACAAATGGGTCATCCTGGTCTGCAGGGCATGGAAGGTGTGTCCGACACTGGGGGACAACTTTAAATAGTATTTAACAAGGTTCTTATACATAGTAGAAGGAAAAATGCCATTGTATACAGTATATACTAAAGAAACATTTAGATGCAAACATTTGGATTTGTCTGTATTTGTATGTATGTACATACAAAAGTGTATATATATAGATATATATATAACTATATATATCTATATATGTATAGAGAGAGAGAGAGATAAAGACACGTGTATGTATAATATTTATAATATAATATAATATAAATGTATGTATATGTATACATATATAAATATATATTTATATGTCTTGTAGTTTTAAGTGAGATTTTATTACTAGAATAATTCTGTTTTAGAACTGTTTTGTCCTATAATCCCCTCATTTTTTCAAAGAGAAAATTAGGATTATCCACAGTCCTGTGTTCCACTTCATTGTTATAAAACTAAATTGTGTAACACATCACCCTCCTCCCACTGTTCAACAGGCCAGCGTGGCCAACCTGGGATCCCTGGGTTACCTGGCATGCCTGGTCGCAGCGTCAGCGTTGGCTATTTACTGGTGAAACACAGTCAGTCTGACCACACACCCATGTGTCCCGTGGGTATGTCCAAACTCTGGGACGGCTACAGTCTGCTGTACTTCGAGGGCCAGGAAAAGGCCCATAACCAGGATCTGGGTAAGTTCAGATAAACTTTTGAATGAAGTTTATAAGATTGTTATGGGGCTTGCCTTACAGCAGTGTTTCTCAAAGTGAGGGGTGGGCCCACTAGTGGGGAATGGAGACATGACAGGTAAGGCACGACAAACAGTAGATTTTCAAGGTTCAAGTTATTGATTTATTATAAAATATGTCGTTACTTGATTTTCGTTCAATACTTTTGGTGGGAATTGACCAGAAAGTTTGAGAACTGCAATATATCAAGACATTTACTGGATCAATCCTTGGAACTTATGATGAATCAGGCTGAAGAATTTATTTGTAGTTTTAGCTACAAATTAGCTTGGTAGCTTAGTGGTTAAGGAAGTAGACTTGGGTCCGGCTTCAGGTTCGAGTCCACCAGCTGCCAAGTTATCACTGAGGTGCTCTGAGCATGGCACCGTCCCCACACACTGCTCCCCGGGCGCTTAAAGCTGTCTACTGTTCACTTTGGTGATGGGTTAAAAGCAGAGGTCACATTTTGTTGTGTGCAGTGGTGTGCTGTGTCACAATGACAAATAGTTTACTTTCCATTTCCTTTATCAACAAAAGTTAATAATCCTTTGACATTTGTTCAGCCTTAGTCCATTTGGAGGTTTCACTTCCAGGACTGGTGTTAGTAGTGATTCACTTTAACTTAAAATAAAGCAGATTTGAGGTCAGTGTTCCCGAATAATCCTCATTATCCTCCTCATCTTGTGCAGCTGTTATTCAGTATCTGCTTTCTCTCAGTGACTCATAACTGACACAGCAGGTGATACTGCTGCTCCTAACTTAATAATACTCCATAAATTAAACAGTGTGAAAAGTAAAGAACATTATATTGTAATACAATCTATTGTCCTCTCCAGGATTGGCTGGCTCCTGTCTGCCCAAGTTCAACACCATGCCCTTCCTTTACTGCAACCCTGGGGACCTTTGTTACTACGCCAGCAGAAATGACAAGTCCTTCTGGTTGTCAACAACTGCTCCTCTCCCCATGATGCCTGTGGAGGAAGGAGAGATCAAACCGTATATCAGCCGTTGCTCCGTGTGCGAGGCTCCGTCGGTTGCCATTGCAGTCCACAGCCAGGACATCACCATACCACAGTGCCCAGCAGGCTGGCGCAGCCTCTGGATCGGCTACTCCTTCCTTATGGTTAGTATTGGTTTTGTTGATCGTCGTCAATTTTTTTCATTTATTTGCACTGTAGCAAGTTACTTTGTACTTTATTTACAATATTTACACATTTGTTTTCTTAATGATTGCTAATTTGTAGCTACATATAAAATAATTTACAAGTGTAAACAATGATCCTGTTTCGAGGACGATCAGCAAACAGAATGGCAGGCGAGGATTCTGTAGAAGTGTTCAGACTTAAATTATTATTTTTGATTATGTTAAGTATGTTAAGTAGTTGTGTTAGCATTAAAAATATATTTATTTGCCTTGGAACTTTTAGATTAACCAATTGAAATTGTGCCGGACAAAAAAAAAACACAACTTGTTAGCAGAATCAACAGAGTTAACCAACACCTTGTTGTCCCACCTGTGTCTGTACAGCACACAGCAGCTGGCAGCGAAGGCGGGGGTCAGTCCTTGTCATCCCCAGGCTCTTGCCTGGAGGACTTCCGCACATCACCGTTCATTGAGTGCAACGGTGCCAAAGGAACATGCCACTACTTTGCTAACAAGAACAGCTTCTGGCTGACCTCTGTGGATCAGTCCTTCAATGCTGAACCATCAGCAGAGACACTTAAAGCAGGCCAGCTCTTGTCACGCATCAGCCGCTGCCAGGTCTGCATGAAGAACTTATAAAAGTTGTCACAGGCATAAACAGATTTGACCATAGACGGTGGTCTATTATCGTAGATCTCTCTCTCTAACAATGTTACCAAACAAACTAAGGGGAATTTCAAACATCAACCTAATTAATGTACATGAAAACTAAACTTTCTCCCCACAGATTCCAGACATGTCATGTAGATAGAGCCCCGATTATGAAGCTAACAGCATTACGGAAAGGTATTTTTATGTTACATGTAGATTGGTGCTTACTGTTTAACTTATTACCTCAGCTTCTATCCACATAGATAAGAGATCTGATATACCGTAAGTTCAGCTAAACCAAAGATGTCTGTTAATGCACTGCTTCAGCTTTCTATGGATTTTTCTCTTATTTTTTTTGAAAAAATATATCCCACCGTAAAAACCACTAACTCTGCTTTTCAACCCTTTACAGTGTCTCCATTAGAGTATCGACAGTATTATCTCTCTTTCATCCTGTTGTTCTGAAAAACCTGTTTTTATACCACGTCAGTTTACTTCGTCTCGCTTCTATCAGCTACTGCAAGATAGACTGCAGTTTGTGGTTTCTCCCTTCAGCACATGTTCACACGATGCACTGATTTTCTTCGTATTTATATCAGCTGAATGAACTTGAACCCCTTCACCTGGGAGTTCTTTTTTACATGTATATCTTATCTAACGTTACGCATGCTACAGTCATTTTATTGAATTGCAGATCAGAACGTAAACAGGGTTTGGCTCTAAGGTCTGACCGCATTACTCACGTTTTAATTCGACTTCATCTGCTTCCATGGAAAGCTTTCATTCCATTCTGTTTTAAATGTAATGTAATTATGTTGTTTTTCATACCATGATAATGTCATTGGACTGGATGGACGTTAGATTGGATTAAATGTGATTTGTGGTTTTTCTGTCATTTTACTCACAATGATTTGTCCCAATTTAACCGACCTGACAAATGGCAAAATATTTTTAAAAAAACGTAATTATGAGAGTAAGTGTAAAAAATTCATCAGAGGAGTTTGTTACTATTCACAGTTTAAAGCACAGAAAAGTGACAATGATGTACAAAGATTGGTATCAAAGCAAGTCAAAAAAAAAATTAGTGATTAGGGAAAAATCCTATCGTTCAACTACAAGAAACAGTGACTTGTGCAGTCTCAGCAAACAATTAGTGCGGTTTAAGTGAAATTTAAAAAAAAAAAGTAGTTAAATTGTGTATGCTTGCTCTTAGCACACACAAGTCAACAATAAAAGTGCAGTTACGGATCTTTGGGTGGAAGTTTTAAAGTACAAGGTAAAAAAAACCCTCAATACTCATTGGTTTTCTTTTTGACAAAACAAGTGTCTCTAGATTCTTCAACTCCAAGCAGTGTCGATTATTGCTATTGACTCTCAGTCTAAGCAAATAAGTAGTACCATCACAGTGTAAGTAGTTGGTGCTTAGACAGACTTTATGACAGTCATTTAAAAAAAAAAACTCAGATCTTAGCAGCAGGTTTTACCCCTCCTGGCACTGGCCTCCCTGTACTCCTCCAAGTCGACTGTAGGAGACACTAGATTCTCATTTCTCTTCCTCAAAATCGAAGGCAGTACCAGATCAAACAGTGTCTCAAACAAAGTGTCCACATTGTAGCCCGTCTTAGCACTCGTCTCAAAGCACATCTTCTCTGCAGGCAGGCTGCTCTTTTCATCCAGGCCCTTGTACCGCAGTATTCTCTCATAAAGTGCCATCGCCTCCTCGCGGGGGACCTGTTTGTGTAGGCCCGTCCCAGAGAGAGACGCAGGAGAGGCTGGAGGTGTAGGACATGCAGACAGCACCTCTGATTCTGTCCTGTCCCCCTCACACTCAGTCCGATCCTTAGAACCTCCGCTCAAGTCCAGTGGCAGCTGGGCTTTAAGGTCTGTGAGGTCAGCCTTGTTGCCCACCAGGGCGTAAATGCAGTCATGGTTGGCAGTGTCGGTCAGGGACAGGAAACGCTCCTCCAGCTCGGCCAAGCTTTGCCAATTGGTGACATCATAGGTGAGAATGACGGCAGAGGCACCTCGACAGTACATGGAGCCCAAACCATGGAACTGTTCTCGACCTGTGGGAGACACAATGAGATCCAGGACACCTACTAAAGTACTACTCATAGTCCCAGGGCCATCAGAACGCAGTACACTGTACAAACAGCAATACAGGAAAAGCAAAACAGACAGAAATTGTGCTAAAGACTTGGCATTTAGAAAACACAAACAACCCTTGTTGTTGAAATATGCATGATTCTTGAATGGAATCACTGTGTGTCTGTGTGTGTGTGCCTGCATGCTAAGCCAACAAATGCAGTTTTATAGACTGAGATAACAGGTCACGGAATGACAAAGTATTTTTCAAGTGCTATTCAGCATAACAAATTATTATTTCTATTTTTCTGGATGACTTTATTTCTTTTATTTCTAACTACAATGATGTCTGGTTTCATCTTATCTAATGACTTTTACAACCTTTAGTTGTTATTATTTTGTATTATTTTTTTTATAGTAAAATAGAAAGGAAAACCAACAAATATCATCTCAGAATTTTTTTAAAAATATTTTTTTCACAAACTGGAAATTAAACGATTGTGCTACCCTGGGAAATTTGAGTTAGAGGCATGGGAGTCAAATCTTCCTGTAGTAAGCCTGTCATGTGACTGTTAAGAGGAACAGGATAAACACAGTGTACCAGCCTGCATAGGCTGCTTTATGTTCTCATGAAGCAGTCTGTTGAATTTTGACTAAAGACTAGAGGTCATTTCGAAGTGGGAAGTGAATTTGCAAAATACAAGTTTCAAAAATACATGTTTACACAATCCTGGAAAGCTATCTTATTGGCTTACTATATCTTAAATAATGAGTCACTTAAAAAATATTACTTTTCGAAATTTTGGATTTTTTTTGCCTCAGCAACAGTGGGTCACAGGCCATGCAGCCTCTTAAGGGTTTTTGGTCATAACGACTTGCGCTGTATAATAAAATCCAAACTCCTTGATTACCGGATTTACATGTTTTTTTTTTGTTTGTTTGTTTTTCCGAGAAATATTTCTTATTTTCCTGATACTAGCTTTTATGTGGTCACATGTCACTGATTGCCCCAGGTTTTGGAATCACGCGCTATCAGGTAAACAAATCCACTAAAGCAATAAAAAATATTCTTGATAAGAGCAGAAAAAAGATCATTTTACCAGCCGTGTCCCATATGGAGATGTTGTAAGGTCCCCATTGTTTTAGGAAAAACGCTCCCCCAACGGTGCTGATGGTGTCTTTAAACTTTCTTTCCGTGTACCTGTGGAGAAGCGACGTCTTCCCCACGTTCATGTCTCCCAGCAGGACCACCTTTACGTCCGGCTTCTTCATCTTAGAAGCCTCCGGCATGATGATAACGGTGACCGTCGGTCGAGTCCCGCGACAAGGGAAAGCTCAATTTGTTTTTACCTTTCTCGGTTAAAAACTTAATGGAGTTATGTACGGCCTAACTGAAAACAATCCCACTATTCTTTCCGCAAATCCCGCTGTCAAGCGCCATTTCGAGTGCAACAGTTAGTTTGGGACGAGGTGACTATTTTAGTGTTGTCTTAGCCACCATTGTAAAGTTCAAAAAGTAGCCGAGGTAAAACAGGAAGTAGGTGAAGAAAAAAAACTGGAGCTTAAGTTTTAACCCTGGGTGTGGTCTAACAGGCGTGAATGTCATAACGTCGTCGTATGTCAGTGTTATTTTGTGAACAATTAGTACTCAGGAAACGTCAATTAAAAAGTCCAGGTTTTTTTATTTCATTAGGTTCATGAGCTAGTTACATAGTTACATCCTTCAATGTTTTGTGCAATCTGTGATGGGGGACGGGGTGAGGGGGGATCCTGATAAAGATGCGAGATTTCTAGTACCTACAAGTTACAATCTAGGGAATAATGCCCACCAGCTGTAGTCCAACTTGGTCACATTGGAACGTCATGGTGGGATGACTTTTTAGTTACAAGACATCAGACCTATGACCCACTTTTCACAATTTAGACCAAACTGCCCACAGTTGGGTGTGCAGGCAGATATCCCACCCCAACTAAATATTAAATCATGAATTAAATATGTGTTATATTTTATGATGTTTCTGAATTGGGTTCTCTGTTTTAGTAAAACGCATTTTAATCATGCAATACACTGCAGGAAGTTGTAATTGTGGATTTTCCAGTGGTCACTGGGCGGTCTGATGTAATCCAAGAAGTGCGTTTTGATGATTACTTGAGGCTCTCCCAATAAAGGATCATAAATAGCACTTAAATTGTTAGAAGTAAAATCACTTCATATTACTACCTTTTGACTTTGACAAAGGTAATATCTATCTACCAAAGTTCTGCTCCCATGGAAGCTGGCTTTTGGACGATGAGTAGACAAACTGCATGGTTTAAAAATGTTAAGTATACTACATAAAAAACAGCACTCTTGTGTTCGTTTGTGTAATTATCACATTTGTTTGTTTTTTTAACCATTGTTCATTTAAGCACGGGGAGCAGAATGTATAATTAAATAAAAACATTGTTCACAGACCAGGAACCGCCACTAGTAAGAAGTTGAGATAAAAGTATTTTCCACTAGACTTCTACGCTGTAGATACACAGACACTTCCGAAACCAGCGGAGTACTTCCGGTCTTCTTCCGGGGTTTCATTGACAGCATTTTCCTTTCCAAAGGCCAGTCGTTTGGCCATCACCTGCCGAGATATAAAAGTCCAAGGCCCTTTTGAAGGCAGCATAGGAATTTAGTAGCTGTTGAAAGACTGGCTGTAGGGCGCCACATGATCAGGACTGTGTGTAGACAGTTGACAGCTTTGAAACCCGCTGCAAGCTTAGGTAAGGAGTGCTGTGTCCGTGTTTTCAGTGAAATAGCAGGGAGAGAATAACAGCATGTCGCAACAGATTCAGACATTCGCCTTTTTCTTTATCACACTAGTACTGTCGATTATCGCCACATTGGTCTTTATGAACGAGACAGGTAAAGAGAAAGAAGCGTGAAAACGTTTTATCTCACTGTTGTGCTCGAACTGTAGTAACATTAGCTTAGCTACAAGCTTCTGGAGTCTAAAAGGCATGGTTGTGTATCATCAAGGATAAATCATAAATTTGATAGTTTGAGGGCTCTAGGACTCTACAGACACCAGGCAAGGCCTGGAAACGGGTGGGGAAATGTACAGTGAACCCAAATAGGACTGATCAGGGGTCAGTTTTTCTACATGTCAGCTAAAGCCTGGGGTTTAACAGGGTTTTGAGAGACTGACCCCGAGTCAGGTCGTGTCCACGTCCTGACGACGTAACCAGCGACGTCAAAGGACAAACTGAGACAAACGGGGTTTAGCTAGGGAGGAACAGTAAATATTTACATCGTATTAGAATGGTTCGCAGATTAAAAAACTATTATTTATACACCGGTAAGTCCTTGTGGGAGCCAGACGTCGTTGTTGACGTAGCTTTTGTAAAGCGCCGCCCGGCTGCTTTGATACAGCTCTAGGGGAGCAGACGTCTGTTGTAATCCGCAGTGTAAACATCCCCATCCAGCTCCCCTCTCTGTCGTTAGTCCGGTCACTCCTGACGCTCATCCACAATGCAAGCGAACCCAACGCGGGGCTTCTTGTGGTCGGATGTGGAGACGAGGACCTTGTTGAACATATGGGGTGAGCAGGACATCCAGACGGCGCTGGATGGAAACTTCCGTAACAGCTTCGTGTACCGCGATGTTTCCCGGAGGCTGGGCACCATGGGCTTCGAGAGGACGCCGGAACAGTGTAGGGTGCGCATTAAAAGCCTCAAGAGACAGTACCTGCTGGCCAAGGAGGGAAATATACGAAACAATGGCCAGTATCACAAGATTTGCAAGTTTTATGAAGTAATGGAGAGAATACTGAGTAACCGACCCGTCCTAGACCCACATGAGTTCATAGACAACGGGGCGGGGAGAGAGGAGGCCGTGGACGGCATGGATGACGATGGAGAGGATGCTCAGGACGCTTTCACGGAGAGCACAGGGGACTGTCCTTATCCTGCAGAGACTCACGTCAAGCTGGAATATCCCACCATTCCCATTCCTGTCCCAGTTAAAGTCACAGTAGGAAACAACAGTAAGTCCCTCCTCTACTCACTTTTTTTTGCTTGGTTTATTTTAAACCTGTATGTGAGCATTCAAAGTGTGCGTTTAAATTTCAATACAGTTTGGATATTTCATTTGAGGGAGGAAGAAATGTTTTAGGTACACTTTTAGATATCAGTTAGGTAGACTTTAATTCATATGCTTTAGGGATATGGCTGTTTACATTTCAATGTCAATGTCATTTTATTAACATGTTTTACATTTTTTTTACTGTAAGTAAACTCAGAACATTTTGATTTTAGTTTTAGTGATGGTTCCTCCATGTGAGGGTAGAAATGGTAAAGGTAAAGATCTACAGCTACATTGAATCTAACGGTCACCACTTTCTTATACTTAAAATGTGATTCCTAGTTGAGTCTTACACTCTCCACACTGCTTGTCTTGATACAGTAACTTAATATATGTTGAAGAAAATACAAACATAAGTGTGTAAGAATAAAAAACGAATACACTGACATTTCACAATACCATATCGATATTCTACAGCACTGTTTAATTTTTTATTAACAATTACTGTTACCATCATTTTATGTAGTTTCTATTCTCAAGTGATTACAAATGTAGATCCCTCTGTTCAAATTTTATTAACCTGATGTTAGGCATGTAACAACATTGTGTGTTTACTCAATGTATTGTTGTGCCCATAACATTGTGGTATATCACAATATATTGTATAGTTATATCTGGATACAAATCGTATCACTATATTCTTGCCAATACACACCCCTAATTAAGAACAGTTTTGAAAATTCAGTTAAATGATTCATTTTATCTAAAACAATGATGCATTTATTGGTTTTGCAATCCTAGTCCAGGTGAATTTTCTTAAAAATAACATGTCTCACCTCTCTCTCCTCAAGGCACCCCGGCCAGACCGCAGAACAGCAGTCAGTCAACTGCGACTCTCTCTACCAAGGCAACTAAAAGACCCAGGAAAAGACGTGCAAACTTTCCCATGGAGAAGCTGATGGAGCAGTTCCTGGAGCAAAGTGCACAGGCTGAGGACAATTTCTATCGAATGGAGGAACAGCGCCTTCAGGCTGAAGAATGCCGCAGAGAGGCCGAGCACACTCGGGAGCTGCACATGCTCCAGATGCTTGGACAGATGTTCTCCAGCATCTCCTCCTCCACTAAACCCGTCTCTGCTGCCACCCCTTCTAAGACTAGTCCCAGCACCTGCCCGCCATCTTACTCCAGCCCCTCTCTATCATGCTCACGTGGCCAATCCAGTCACATCAGACACTCTTCACCCTTGAAAGACCGTTTTCCCCAACAGAGTCAACTGTTGGACCCAGACCCCCAGGCCTTAGGTATTGATGTTGTTGATACGTGAAACCTCGGCGTGGAATGTGCAAAGAGAAGCTCAGCAGAAAGGCGACTCAGCGGTGGCTCACTCACCCCACCAGTTGTTCATTAATCTATTCTTTTGTGTATATAATAATTCACTTTTTTATAATGTTTAGTCATTGTTACTGCTCATATAAAATAAGATGCAAACTTTGACTTGTGTATTCATTTCTGTCTTTCCTCTTTCCATCAGTGTTGGAACGCTGCTACAGTTTGGGGACTACATCACACAAAGGCATGGAGGAGGACATTGTCTCACTAGTTAAGACCATAGTTCCTCCTCTGAACTCCAAGAAGCACAAGGGACAAGATGGACGTATTGGAATCATTGGAGGTTGCCAAGAGTATGTGTCACAGACAAAAACTGTATCCAAAATACATGTATTGTATTAGTCTCCTAATATTATCCCTATTATTTTGTCTCCAACTTTCATACAGGTATACAGGAGCTCCATACTTTGCTGCTATTGCTGCACTCAAAGTGGTAAATACTGATTCTAACAGACTGTGGCTTTAACCTAAAACTCTTTATTCCATTTGTTTTGTGTTTTTTGACTGCTTTCTTATGTATNATTTATTTATTTTTTAACCAGGGAGCTGATTTGTCTCATGTGTTCTGCACCAAAGATGCTGCTACTGTGATTAAATCCTACAGCCCTGAGCTCATAGTCCATCCTGTTCTGTAAGTGGAGAATTTTCTAAATTTTTTTACCGTTTATTAACTAACTCTAATTTCAGGAACTGATTACGGGTATGTGTGTAACATTGAAACCCAAATGGAAACACTTACCTTTGTACTTCAGTTTTACATTTTTCATCTGTCACACAACAGGAACTCAGATGAATACTTTAACTTTCGGTCACATTCGGTAAACTGCAGTAATGTATATAGTTTCCATGCTTTTTTCCCCAATAGGTAACATTAGTCAAATAGGTTTACTCTGCAAACAAGGCACAAAAATAGAAAAATGAGAATGTTCTTTACTATCTAATTAACAGTTGTCTCTCTCTGCATCAAGGGACAGTCCTAATGCTGTGGAGGAAATTGAAAAGTGGCTTCCGAGACTCCATGGCCTAGTGGTAGGACCTGGTCTGGGCAGAGAAGACTTATTGCTGAGAACAACACAGGTATGTGGACAACACAGCACTGGAAACAACACTTTAAAAGAACTGCCTCTTGCATTAGCACAATGTTCTAAGTATTTTAAAGATTATTTAAAGTGCATATATATATATACATATATATATATATATATACATATATATATATACGGTATATGATACCGATTTATCATTGATGCACCAAAGAATTTTATTTTTATTTTAATCATAAACATGGTCTTAGATACGCATTTTAATACAAAAGAGTGCAATTCTATTCATTTTTGAGAAAGCTTTATTTTTGAAGACTTTTTCAGGAACCTATCAGTATAGTATGTTGCTGTTGAGCCATGGTTGACATCTGTAAAAATTTATTTATTTATTTATTTATTTTTACATATAAATATTTAACCTATACAGTTATAGAGTTACAGCGGGGCAGTGATGGCTTGGTGGTTAAGGAAGCAGACTTGAGTTTGGAAGGGTTCAGGTTCGAGTCCACCAGCTGCCAAGTTACCACTGAGGTGCTCTGAGCACTGCTCCCCAGGTGCTTCAGCTGCCCCCCGCTCACTTAGGTGATGGGTACAATGCAGAGGTCACATTTTCCTTCTGTGTCACTATGACAAGTAGTTCACTTTCCTTTCCTTAAAAATTACTATAAACATCAGCATTTATACAGTAGCAGTTAAATAAAATATTTAGTAGCAATCTTTAACAGTGTAATCAAAGCAAATTCATCGGAAAAACCCAAGGTGCAACTTTATATTTTGTCTGTTTATTCCATTCACTTAGGAGGTGATAGAAAAGTCCAAAGCGAGAGATATTCCCATCATCATCGATGCAGTAAGTCTTAATAACATGAAGCTCCCACTGTTGAACAAATGGAATTTTGTTTGGAAAGTTGCTGAGTGTTTTTCTGTGTGTGTGTGTGTGTGTGTGTGTGTGTGGGTCTTACTTGTTTTAAACAGGATGGATTATGGCTGGTTACACAACGACCCACTGTTATTCAAGGGTACCACAAGGGCATCTTGACACCTAATTTTATGGAGTTCACAAGATTGTACGAGGCACTGGTGGGTCTCCTGATTCCAGTCAGCCCCTGACTTATCAATTATCAACCCTCCTGGGCTTTATTTTTGTAGGGGTATTAACATGTTGTCTGTGTTGCCACTGCAGCACCATGAACCCTTGGAGAGCAGTGATCATCAGCGCAGCATCTTGCAGCTCAGTGTGGCCATGGGCAACCTGACATTGGTGCTGAAAGGGAAGCAAGATCTCATTACAGACGGCAGCAAAGGTAAAAGACAAGCTCATTATTATTATTAATTTAAGCTTATAATCACTTATAATATGTGATCATAAGGCATTGAAGTTGTAACCTTGTGTTTCCAGTGATCTCTTGCAGTACCGAGGGCAGTGGAAGAAGATGTGGTGGACAAGGTGATCTCCTGTCTGGATCCATAGGCGTGCTGGCACACTGGGCCTATGCTGCGTCTGCAGCTGGAACTCTTAAAAGGTAAAGCTTGCCTGTGTGATTACACTGTTAAAACTGTTTAATTTAAAGTCTCTGACTAATAAGCATGGTCATGTATGTGTTTTTTGTACTTTTGTAGTATAAATCCTTCATTGGTGGCTGCATTTGGGGCCTGTTCACTTACCAGGCAGTGCAACAGACAAGCATTCCAGCAACATGGCAGGTCCACGACCACCTCAGACATGATCCAGGAGATTGGCTCATCCTTCAGAAAACTTTTTGAGAGCTGAAAACTGTAGTTTCGAAACATGCACACAAATCAAACCTTTGCTTTCTGTACAAGCAAACTTGTTCAAATGGACACTAAAGGCAAAGACTTTATATATAAATTTATATAAATATATATTATATATACAGGCTTTGTTAAAGACTGTGCTCAACATAAACATGGAGTATTGACCGACCCGCAGTGTCATCCTCATGACACTAAACTAACTAAACTGTATAAAGGAAATGGACATAGGTGTGTGGGTAAGTCACAATTGTGCCTCCTCCTGTCATGATTTACTGTCAGTTGTTCTCTCAATAGGCTCCCATATTGAAGTGGTAACATCATGTTCTGTTGGATAAATGGAAGGATAACTGAAACTAGTAGATCAGAGTGAAAAGCAGAATCATTTTTTCCTTTACACTTTATACAGAGTTTCTTACAAACAGGATAGTTCTGTCCATTTCCTATAGACTGTACAGCCTACTGTTGTATTTCATCATTTCCAGCACAGTTCCATTTTATTTAGGACACAAGTAAAACAAATCCATGTGCTTTTATTTAAAATAAATAATTTGAAATAAATTGTATGAAAAAGTATTTCCCCCATGACTTGTGGTGCTGTGCACTTACATACAGGTTTTACATATACATTTATTTTGACAAATAAGTCTGTCAAGCTTGGTTAAAATCAACTAATCGACTAATTGATTAATTAATTAAAATTTGATGACAGATGGGGAAAAAATCTGATGAAAATTTTTGGAGAAACAAATTCAAAATTTGATCTATTCTTCGTATTTCTTATCAAATTAGAGCATTTTGAGAAATATTTTAGAAATACAAATTGAGAATTTTTTCGGTAAAATCCAAATTTTTCGGTAAAATTCTAATTTTGTGCGTCGAGGTCAGATGGAGGGACCTGGCTGGGCTCAGCCCAAACAAGCGACGTAAGTCCGCTTTCCAGTGTGCCC